GGTTTTGATTTGCATTTCCCTGATGTTTAGTGATGTTGAGCATTTTTTCTTGTGTCTGTTAGTCATTCGTATATTTTCCTTTCAGAAATGACTTTTCAGCTCCTTTGCCCATTTCTTAATTGGATTATTTGTTTTTTTACAGTTAAGTTTGAGTTCCTTGTATATTTTGGATATTAATCCTTTGTTGGATGCTTAGTTTGCAAATATTTTTGTCCATTCTGTAGGTTGTCTTTTCATTCTGTTAATTGTATCTTTTGCTGTGTAGAGCTTTTTAGTTTGATATAATCTCATTTGTTTATTTTTTCTTTTGTTGCCTGTTCTTTTGGAGTAATATTCATAAAATCAAGCCCAGTCCAACTTCCTGAAGCATTTCCCCTGTGTTTTTCTTTAGGAGTTTTATAATTTCAGATCTTGTATTTATAAGTCTTTAATCCATTTTGAGTTGATTTTGATATATGGCAAGAGGTACAGGTCTAGTCTAGCTTCATTCTTCTACATATGGATGTCCAGTTTTTCCAGAACCATTTATTGAAGAGGCAGATTTTTCCCTAGTGTATGTTCTTGTTGCCTTTGTCAAAGACTAGTTGGCTGTAAGTAACTGGGCTTGTTTCTGGGTTCTCTATTTGCTTTCTTTGGTCCATGTATCTGTTTTCCTGCCAGTACCATGCTGTTTTGGTTACTATAGCTTTGTAGTATTATTATAAGTCAGGTAGTGTTATGACTTTTTTTGCTCAGGATTCCTTTGCTATTAAGGGTCTTTTGTTCCACATGAGTGACAGAATTGGCTTTTTTTTTTTCTATTTCTGTGAAGAATTTCATTGGTATTTTGATGGGGATTTCATTGAATATGTAAATTGCTTTGGGTAGCATGGACATTTTCACAATGTTAATTCTTCCAAGCCAGAGCATGGAATGTCTTTCCATCTTTTTGTGCCTTCTTTAATTTCTTTCAGCAGTGATTTATAGTTCTCATTTTAGAGATCTTTCACCTCCTTGATTAAATTTATTCCTGCTATTATATCTTTTTGGTAAGTATTGTAAATGGGCTTGCTTCCTTGATTTCTTATTCTGCTAGTTCATTGTTGGAGTATTAAAAAGCTACTGATTTTTGTATATTGATTTTGTATCCTGCAACTTCAGTGAATTCTTTTATCAGCTCTGTGAATTTTTTGGTAGGGTCTTTGGCTTTTTCTTTATATATCATGTCACCTGCGAACTGGGACAATTTGACTTTGTCTTTTCCAATTTGGATCCCTTTTATTTCTTTCCCTTGCCTGATTTCTCTGTCTAGTATTTCCAGTGCTATGTTAAATAGAAGTCATGAGAGTTGGCATCCTTGTCTTGTACCTGTTCTTAAAGGAAAAGATTTCAGCTTTTCCCTATTCAGGATAATATTGGCAGTGGGTTTGTCATATATTATAGATGCATATCATTAAGTTGAATGCATTTCATTCTACTTGTAATCATTTTTTATCAAGAATCTTTTGAAATGATTTTTATGCATTTATTTATTTGAGAAAGTTAAACCAACTTTGTATTGCTGTTATAAATCCTATTTGGTCATGGTGTATTATTGTTTTTATAGATTGCTAGATCCAGTTTGCTAGTATTTTGTTAAGATATTTTGAGTTTATTCATGAGAGTAATTGGTTTGTAATATTTTCATCTTGTTTTGGTATAAGGCTAATGCTGGCTTCTGTATTAGCTTTATTTTCTGTATTCTTGATGCTCTGGCATATGAGATTTTGTAGTCCCAGGCAGGAACTGCCTCTCCAAGGGTTAGTTAATTCCTAGAGATGGTAAACAATTTGCCTGTGGGCAAGCTCTTGATAGGCAAACCAACCAATCCTGAGTTCACACTCCCTCCCACCTCCTTTTATCAAGCTCCTGCAGTCTGGGACACTATCCCCCCCTGCCCTAATCACCCCTGGGTCAGACACTAACAATTAGGAACCGACCTATCACCCAGAGCCCACTGAAATTATTCATTTATCTAACCTTAATCCTGCTTAGCTTGCTTACCTTACTTCCCCAACTCTTTCCCAGGAAAATCACAATGAAGTCTCCTGCCCAGCCACAGTTCCTCTCTTTTACTGCCTGCTTCCGTGTGCCCCACACA